TTTAATGGATCATTTTCTTTTCTTCTTGCATTTACCAGGTCGCAGAACCTTAGCTGTAATCACTAAACTTGACCTCATGGATGCGGGTACTGATGCCATGGATGTATTGATGGGAAGGGTTATACCAGTCAAACTTGGAATAATTGGAGTAGTTAACAGGTTAGCAATCAAGAGTGGGATAATAATTGTAGCATTCTGATTTCAAAGCAAATCTGAATTTTTTAAAAAGTAATCTAAAATGTGATATGATCAAGGGGCGCCTGGGTGGCTCAGTCATTGAGTGTCCAACTTCGGCTCAGGTCATGATCTCACAGTCTTGGGTTCGAGCCCCGTGTTGGGCTCTGTGCTGCCAACTAGCTCAGAGCCTGGAGCCTGCTTTGGATTCTTTGTCTCCCTCTCTCTCTGACCCTCCCCTGCTCACGCTGCCTCTCTCTCTCAGAAGTAAAACATTAAAAAAAATTTTTAAATAAATAAAATGTGATATGATCTCTCTTTTTCCCTTTTACTGCAACCATGGTATTGCTAGGAATTCAGTGCTCTAAGGGGAGAAAAGAGATTTACTAAAGCCTCCTTTGGGCGTTTGTAATGGAAGCCATTTTAAAGTAAGCAGTGCCATAAAATGGAAGAATATTTAATAGCGAGGCCTGAAAAATTCCTGTCTATTGTGTTATGTATTAGGAGTGCACTGGGTAAGAAAAGAGTATTATTTAAATCTGCATGCAATCAAGAAAGAGTTTGTTAAGATGGTAGGATTTTAATAAATTGCTTTAACACCTCTGGCATTAGTGATCTTTTGTAATTGCCAGGATGTGACTTGGAGAAATTTTATTAAAGGTTCTCTAATTATAAATAGCTGGTATTGAAAATTGTGGAAAGAAACTACTACTGGGTGTCTAATTATGTTTTAGAGACTCTACTGTGAGCAACTTGCAAATTTTATCTCATTGAACCCTTACAACATCTCTGTAAAGTAGCTGTTGATGTCTATTTTATAATTAGAAGACTCAAATTCTACGTTTCCCAAAGTCACATGGTGAAAGCAGATTTCAAATGAAGTACTTTCTTAGACTAAAGCCTTTATAAGTAGGCAGCACTGAAATTAACAGGAGATCTGGGTTCTAATCCTACTTTGTCTATAAATTAGATATATAATGTGGGTTTAAATGACACCTAACATGTTTGGGTCTCAGGCCTTTTAAAATGATAATTGTTTTTGGAAACCAACTGACAATAAACTATTTGTAAAAAAAAATTTTTTTTAAATGATATTGTTTTGGGGCGCCTGGGTGGCTTAGTCGGTTAAGCATCCCACTTCGGCTCAGGTCATGGTCTCATGGTTTGTGGGTTCGAGCCCTGTGTCGGGCTCTGTGCTGACAGCTCGTTCAGAGCCTGGAGCCTGTTTCAAATTCTGTATCTCCCTCTCTCTCTGACCCTCCCCTGCTAAAGGTCTCTCTCTCTCTCTCAGAAATAAATTTTAAAAAAATTAAAATATTTTTTTCTCTCCCTCTCTCAAAAAAAAAAAAAAAACCCAGATAAATAAAGGGACACTTGGGTGGCTCAGTTGGTTAAGCATACAACTCTTGATTTCAGCTCAAGTCATGATCTGATAGTCCTAAGATTGAGCCCTGAGGTTGGGCTCCATGCTGGGTGTGGAGCCTGCTTACGATTCTCTGTCAGCCTCTCTGCTCCTTCTCCACCTGCACTTGTATGCTCTTCCTGTCTCTCTCAAAAAAATACAAATAAATAAAATGAAAATGTTTTTACTAAGTGATGTCTAAGATCTCTTTCAGTTGTTTGCCTTATTCATATGTCCTAACTCTCCCAATACTTTGACTTCTCTTTTTGTTTTTTTATTTTTATTTCCCACTCTTGTCTTTTCATATAAGCTCATGATATAAAATTTGCATTTGTAGATGACTGCTCTTCAAGTTAATTATTTTTGGTAGAAATCAGTTGCCTGCCCATGGATTAAAAATACAGCTGGTTATCACACTTATACTTTTTCACCTGTCTTCCCTGTTACTTAAGAGTACTGCTTTTGACTATAGTGAATGGTAATTATGAGTCCTAAACTATTCAGGCATTACTTATAAGTCACAGATCGAATCTAGGCTGAAGTACTTAACATGTGACCTTTGGTAGGTTAATGTCTCTGAGCCTCCATTCCTTTGCCATAAAACGCGATAATACCTACTGCATAGAACTACTGCAAAAATTGAATAAAACAATCCGTAACAGGCATTACAAACAGTGCTTGTTACTTTCATCATTCAAGGTATGTAGAGGACCTCAGTTGACTTTAGTTAAACGGTTTTGTTATTTTTCAACCTTAGGAGCCAGCTAGACATTAACAATAAGAAGAGTGTAACTGATTCAATCCGTGATGAATATGCTTTCCTTCAAAAGAAATACCCATCCTTGGCTAATAGAAATGGAACAAAGTATCTTGCTAGGACTCTGAACAGGTAACATTTTTACCTCTTGGAAAATGAAGGTTGGTTTGCTTGTTTGTTTTCCAGTAGGTGTCTGAGAGCTCGTTTTTAGTTCTTTATATTTTTATAATGTTCTTATGTGTACAGTTCCAGGTCTTGTTTCTCGTGTAGATGTCTTTTTTTATTGGGGTGATCAGCATTAAATTATGTAGTCTAGAAACGCTCAAGGGAATTTTAAGACCTCTTAATTATGAAGTTCTTGACAGTCCATTTATTTTTGGTGCTAAAACGAGATAACAGATGACTTAATTTCTACTTGGGATTTCAGGAACTGAATTAAACTTTATAATTTTTCACATAATCTAGTCTTATTTTTAGATGTCTTCTATTATTCATATAAGGAATTTAAGGTATGTACCTTGAATATCTTAATACCCACTGATGGTAAAGGGACTGGAAGACCTTTCTAGATAATTTATAAATGACTAAAATGAAAGCTGTTTTCTCTTACTCCCTAAGTAAATTAAAGGCTGATGGACTTGGATCTTAATAAGATTGATTTTCACTGTGCTGAGTAGCCACTATAAAAGTTAAGTCAGAAGCAAAGTATCTAGGTAGAATTATATTGAGTAGCTTACTTTCTTTGAGGTAATTGTAATTAATATAGAAATAATTTGTTTCAGTTTATATTTGGTTCTCTTAGCAATTGCTACAATTTTATCAGTTGAAGCATATTTAAAAAGTGTCAATTAAGTTTTCTTTGTTCAGACTAAGTATTTATTTCTACCCTAAGATTGCATTATTTCCTGCCAAGACAAATTATTTGAAACTTTCACCATTACTGGCATTTAAAAAATTTGAGCTGTTGAGGGCTTCAAACTATACTTTTATTTTAAAGTCATTTTTTCTAACCTTTGTTAGGTTACTGATGCATCACATCAGGGATTGCTTACCAGAGTTGAAAACAAGAATAAATGTTCTAGCTGCTCAGTATCAGTCTCTCCTAAATAGTTATGGTGAACCTGTGGATGATAAAAGTGCTACTTTACTCCAGCTTATTACCAAATTTGCCACAGAATATTGTAACACTATTGAAGGAACTGCAAAATATATTGAAACTTCAGAGCTGTAAGTAAAAATATTTCTCTGTAGATTTGCTTACCTGAATTGCTAGGTTACTTTAACTTTTGTAACAGTGACTTTAACTCTGAGATTATCTGATTGTGATTTATTACCTGTAAAGCTGTATTTTGCACAGGATGATGTCTGATGTATGTGTAAAAATGCTCTGTAAACTAGGTAAAACACAGTAACAATTTCAAGGTTTTTTTTAATAAGACTTTGATAAACCTTTAAAATATTTGGTAATTTAACTTTTATATGTTCATTTCTTTAATATACACACTATAATTATTCATGAAAAATAGAAGAAAATGCAGATAAAAAGAAAATAGGACAAAATTGCTTACTTCCACTAACTAGAAATCCTCCTTGCTAATTTTGGCATGAATCTAGACATTATTCTGTGCATTATAAATGCCAGTATTTACACACCTTCAAAAACCAAATGCCATACATGCGATTTTGGAATCATTTCTTTAAATCAGCATGTCACAAATAACTAATATTACTTATACATTTCTATTATCAATCTTAAAATTTTTTTGTATTTCATTTTTTAGGTACACTCTTCATTTCTTGAACAAGTATCTTAAAGCTGATAGGTTGTTTTCATTTATACACAAATATAAAAAATGTTGTTATGGACTAGTTTGAGGGCATGTATCTAAGTAAATCCTTAGAATAAATTCCTAGAATGGAATTAATAGGTCAAAGGTTATAACATCCTAAAAGCCTCTTACTGTTGCCATGCTGTTAATAGATTGTATTAGCAATCTATAAGAATGTTTATTTCTCTAAATTCTCACTTAAAAAATCTTTTAATTTTGAAATTATTATAGACTTCCAGGAAGTTGTAAATAAATGTACAAGGAGGTCCTGTCAGTCCTTCACCCCATCTTCCCTAGTGTTGCTGTCTTGTATATAGTCCTGTAACAAAATGAGAAAATGGACATTGGTACAACCCACAGAGCTTATTCGTATTTTACCACTCATGAAATTATATAGGCACTTGTGTGTATTGTGTACTTTTGTGTGATGGCCTTTAACTCTTGTGTGATGGCCTTTAATCTGAGTTAGCCACATAAATTGTTGAATGGTTGGTTATTATATATATAGCATATTGAGGGAAATAAAGATTACCAAGATGAATCTTTAAAGAGCTGAGTCGGGGGGCGCCTGGGTGGCTCAATTGGTTAAGCGTCCGGCTTCAGTTCAGGTCATGATATCACAGTTCAGGAGTTCAACCCCATGTCACATTCTGTGCTGACAGCTCAGAGCCTGGAGCCTGCTTTAGATTCTGTGTCTCCTCTTTCTGCCCCTCCCCTGCTCGCGCGCACACACTGTCTCTCTCAGAAATAAACAAACATTTAAAAGATTAAAAAAAAAAACCTTAGTGGATAAGGTACATCCAGGTAACAGGAGGCACAGTTATGTGACAAACAGGAGTATAATCAAGTATTTTTATTTAAATACTTATTAAATAGAATACGTATCCAGAAACATGCATATATTATATATGGGGAGTTTTATAAGTAGTTAATAAAGCAAATAATCTGTAACCACCTAATCAAGCCTTTAGGACACTGAAAAGAGACCATTTACATTTCTCTCAGGGAGTGGGAGAATGCCATAGTTTGGGTTGGGCTCTGAATAGAATTTGGGGAGGCACTAAGTAGAAGGGTACTTTAGGCTTCAGACAGCAAAGAATATTGCAGGGTGTTGTTGGAGGATGGCATGCAGTGACAGGGCATAACGGAGGTAAGGCAGCAAAGGCATCTAAGAACAAGATTGTGGAAGATCAGAGATCCTCAGAATTTGGAGGACTTCTTGCTATAACAGATAAAACACTTCTGGTCAGAGGAGTACCCATTTTAGAAGTATAATTATGGTCATTATGGAAAATTATTTGGAGAAGGGAAAGGTTCAAGACAGACTGGTAATTTTAACTGGCAATTTGAAGTATAACTTAATGGCATTAAATTTCAGTCACAATATTATCTAACCATCAAATGGTGTCTGATTTCTAAAATTTTTTATCACCCCAACAGAAACTCTGTGTCTGTTAAGCAGTATCTCTTTCCTCCTTCTCATCTCTGGGAACCTCTAATTTGCTTTGTCTCTATCAATCTGCTAATTCTAGATATTTCATATAAGGGAAGTCATACGGTATTGGTCCTTTTGTGTGTCCCTTATTTCACCTAGTTTAATGTTAGGCTCCTTCACCTTCGGCCTAGACAACTGTAAGAAAGTAGTGAATGCTAGAGACTTGTTTAAAGCAGAAGTAGGCAAACTAGCCCATTGGCTAAGAATGATTTTTATATTTTTAAATAGTTGAAAAAAATTCAAAGAATATTTCATGACATGAAAATTATATAGAATCCACATTGTTGTGTGCCTGAATTTGACTGGAACACAGCTGTGCTTATTTGTTTATATTTTATCCATGGCTGCTTTTGTGCTCAGTGGTAGAAAAGAGTCATTGTGACAGACTGTATGGCCTGAGAAGTCTAAACTATTTACTATCTGACCCTTTACAGGAAAAGTTTACTTATCTCTCCTTTGAATTGTGAATAGACAAAAATAAGTAAGATACTGTTCCTTGTCTTTTCAAAAGCTTATAGTTGAAAACTAGGGCAGAGAAAACATGTTCAGTAGTTCTTAGTTCACTGCTGTTTTTTGACACAACAGTTCTGTGTGCATCCACATATATACATGTGAATACCTTCTGTGGAATGACTCTTCTCCATTAAAAGAAACGAGTAGAGAAGCTGGTTCATAATGGAGTTGAGAACACATGGAAATGACCTAAATGTAACTGTTTGAGACTTTTTCAGAAAATAAGACCTTAAAAGTTTATAGAAATACTTCTAACTTGTGGCTTCCCTCTTAGTAATAACAGAAACCATATACTTGACTGCCTTTCAGATGCGGTGGTGCTCGGATATGTTATATTTTCCATGAGACTTTTGGGCGAACTCTAGAATCTGTTGACCCACTAGGTGGCCTTAACACTATTGACATTTTGACTGCCATTAGAAATGCTACTGTGAGTACGCTTGAGTTGGACTTTTTTAAAAAAAGAGGTTAAAGGTTTATTATAATTTTTAACGCATTAGCTGTATGTTTTTAAATGAATTGTACAGCTTAGCCCTCATACTTGATACTAGGAAGCACTTTTCATGAAAAATACCAAGAAATGTGATTTATTCTAACCTAGGGAAGAACTAAAATTACGTGTAGGTATAATAGCGCAGCATTTTTTTTAGGGTCCCCGTCCTGCTTTGTTTGTGCCTGAAGTTTCATTTGAGTTATTGGTCAAGCGGCAAATCAAACGTCTGGAAGAACCCAGCCTGCGTTGTGTGGAACTGGTTCACGAGGAGATGCAAAGGATCATTCAGCACTGTAGCAATTACAGCACACAGGTAATGGGCAGGTGTGCGGGCATCCGATTAAGTAGTACCACACGCGACACGGTGGTTTCATGGGATGGGAGGCCATGCACAAGGTGGGTTACACGTAAGTTAAAATCTGGAGTTTCCTTATCCATAAAAGTGTTCTGAAGGAGCTTACATGCAGCTTAAGATCTACTTCAGGAATTACTTAATTCTCCTTTAAACAAAGGAGACTTCTACTTTTCTTTCTTCTGTCATGTATATAGGAGCTGTTGCGGTTTCCTAAACTTCATGATGCCATAGTTGAAGTAGTGACTTGTCTTCTTCGTAAACGGTTACCTGTTACAAATGAAATGGTGAGCTGTTACTTTCACAAGTCATCACTGTAATTCCTGTTAAAGACGCTTTTTTGTGCAGCAGTCTGAGTACTGTAGAGTTTGGGCATGTTTACCAGTATACTGGCAAGAAAGATTAGTGAACTTCATTCTTATTTCAAAGGGAACTTCAGTAATTCAGGTATAAAGTACAGTTTTCCTTCACATTTTAATCATTGTTAGCCTGCAGCCACAGATTTTCATGAGAATGGAGTTCCTGGTGAGGATTGTGAATAGTTTTGCTCTACTGATCTAATGGAAAATTAGTTTTCTCTTTAGCCCCCCCATAAACTGAGCCTTTAGAGCAGGTTCTTATTTTAACTCTGGCACAAGATGATAATTTGGCCACTTCTAGTTTGCTTTTGGTGGCCCTGTACTGGAATGTCATGGCTGCTCGCTGCTCTCCCCTGGGTTGCTGCTATCCTAAAAACTGCTGAAATTGGCAAAAATGTGAGATAAGCATTTGACACTGCCTTCATATCTCTATTTGTTGGTTGTTTTGTTTACCTTTCTGGTCACAACAAGTGCATTTGGGATGGCGGCGAGCCCCAGTGGACGTTTGCCAAGATTACCAGCCCATCCTTGGAAGCGGAGACCTAATCCCTGCCACTCGGTTGTTTCCCTTGCAAGTGCAGCCCCAGCCTGAGAGGAGTAGCGATATAGTTCACCTGGCCTCAGGGTCCACCTAATCATTGGAATTGCATTTGAATCCATCCTTTTCACCTGGTTCTTGATGTTTTAATGCTGTTCTGATTACCTTAGATTTGTTAGGACCCTGCAGATGAAGGGGTTAGTTAAATCTCTGCAATGATGGAGGAATTAATTAGTTAATTTTAGCTTTCCTTTTTTTTTTTTTTTGTTTTGTTTTGAGAGCAAGTGAGCTAGTGGGGGAGGGGGAGAGAGAAAATCCAAGCAGGCTCTGCCAAACTCCTGAACCGTGGGATCATGATCTGAGTTGAAACCAAGAGTTTGACGCCTAACCGACTGAACCATCCAGGCACACCCCTCAGCTTTCCTTTTTGATTACTGTCCTGTTAGGATTTCAAACCACATAGAATATTTAAACTAGGTGTGTCATAATTAAGGCTAATCAGTCATTACTTCAGGTCTTTAAATATATCCTTTCCTCAAAGTTAACATCTTTGACTTTATCTAATTATGTTTTCTTGTTGAAACTGAACTGAAACGTTGACATGGAATAGCAGATGATCTGAGGATTTAATTGAAAGGTTACATAAAACCTTGGAACTTAGATTTGCATTAGGTAAAATTTCTTTTTCTATACTTCTAATTACCTTAAGATCACTACCTAAGCCCCTCAGCAATGCAGTCTTAGATGATCAAATAGAAATAAGTCAAAAAGATAGAGCAAATTATAATATGGCATAACATGTATTAGGGGGCGCCTGGGTGGCTCAGTCAGTTAAGTGTCCAACTTCGGCTCAGGTCATGATCTCCTGGTTCATGGGTTCGAGCCCCACGTCGGGCTCTGTGCTCACAGCTAATTCAGAGCCTGGAGCCTATCTCAGATTCTGTATCTCCCTCTCTCTCTGACCCTCCCCTGCTCATACTGTCTCTGTCTCTCTCAGGGGGAAAAAAAACCCATTAAAAAAATAACATGTATTAGTTGGAGTATAAGTATTCAGTATTTATTGAGGCACCAGTTTCCCATATTGCCTTTTTTCGAACTATTTAATAAGTTTTATGTTTCCTAAAGTAGAATTAGGTTGACATATTTTATTATATAGCCTAATTTAATTTTCTTTCTAGGTGCATAACTTAGTGGCAATTGAATTGGCTTACATCAACACAAAACATCCAGACTTTGCTGATGCTTGTGGGCTAATGAACAATAATATAGAGGTAAATACAATTTGAATTGTCTCTTTTGAGAGAGAAAATCCATTGTCAATCAGTTGTATCAAATTTACCAAGTGTGGCATAACTATAAAACATACAGATACCTACTGTTGTCTGTTACATCCCAGGAAGTATGCTAAGGGCGTTACACTGTTAGGTTAAATTTAATTCTCAGACCGACCTGGAGGCATTATTCTCCTTTTCTCTTTCCGAAGCTGTAACTGTGAGGGGATTTGGGACTCACTGATTTAGTGTTGGAAGGACTGCCTGGCTGGCTCCCTCTCAGCAACTCGTATAGTTTATTCAGGCTGAAGAGTATTGTCAGAAAAAAATTTCAAAAAGGCATGAGTGAGCACTTGAAAATACACTAGATACTGTTACATTAAAAATTAGCATGTCGACCTTGTTTGAGGACGAAGACTTAGTTCTTGTAACGTTGAAACCACCTTCATGGAAAACTGATGTACGGAACAAGTTCTGTAATACTGACAGGGTCATTTATGAGAGGATTTCAGCTAAGTTTTTTTTTTCCCCCAACAAATGAGTAGGTCTGTTTTTAATAATTCCATGACAAAGAACTTTATTTGGATATTCTAATTAAATCTTTACCCTCAAAGAGTTGTAGAGAATCTTAACAGATGAAAAAATTGAGGGCTTAGGAAGAGCTGGTGACCTTGTCCAGGACCCACACCCACTAAGGTCTTAACAAGTTGGTAACAGACGACGACGAGAATTTCTGGGTTCTAGATTCTCCTGCCTTTTGCTTTGTGTCCCTCTTGAAAATGTCCATGTTAATATGGAACCTTCTTATTCTGAAGATTGTTAAAAATCCACACATTTTTATCATCTGTATTTTTTATCACTGGATTACCTCATGAAAAAAATGAAAATTGGTCACGTATCTGTCAAAAAAGTCTTACCCGTGAAAGATCACTGTGGAAGCTTTGTTAACATCTTTTTTGCAGGTTTGAGAGTGTTTACGAAGTGGTTTCTACTTAGGAGCAGTTTTGACTTTATTTAACATAAATGCTTTTCTGTGTACCTGCTGCTCCTGCTGCTGAGAGCGCCGTTAACGTGTATATCTCACTTGTGAACCTGTCACGGTGCTCTGACCTACAGTAGGTGTTCACTCCATGTTGATTTGAATGTCACACAGTTTCTAAAGCTTTGTAGCAGAGTCACCTGATAACAGCAACTTAGAGTGGCTGGTTCCATCAGTCTGTTACATTAGATTACAGAAAGGACTGTTTTCACTGCTACAACATCCTTAAAGGATAACCTCCACCACAGATCCCTCTTACAGTTTTGGGTGTGGGAGTTGTGGGAATTTAACACAGAGGTGTGCAGGTTAGAGTGATGTTTAAAGGCTGAAGTTTTCAGTCACCTGTGCACTTAAGTTTCTATATGGTATACTGAAGGCTAAGTACACATTTATGTGGGACAGTTTCAATCCGTGATTCTCAGTGGGAAAGGCAGAGGTGTCGGTCCATTGCTCCACATTTGAGAGTCTCTGGTTTAGGGAGCCACTGTCACTGACGTTGTATTGTATCCTTCAGGTGTGTTGGGCAGAAAAAAAAGATTGAGAAGCATTGGGTTAAATGATTTCTTGTTTGTTTTAAAATAAAATTATGGCAGAGTCCCAACAGTGAGAGGCTATACTGTAAGTCATTCCACACTTTTCAATTCAGCTGAACATTTTTTAGTAGGTTTGTATCTCAGTGCTCTGATAATCACTTTGTTCTGTTTGGTTGTGTTTTCTAGGAACAAAGGAGAAACAGGCTAGCAAGAGAATTACCTTCAGCCGTATCACGAGACAAGGTAGAGAACAGTATTTTTAAAGCACATTCCCAATATGCAAAGATGGACTGGTAAGCTTCAGTTCTGGGAGTGATTTTTTCTTCTCCCCTCACTATTCCATTCCATTGGAATTATTGAGTGAAGGTATTTCAAGTTTTAAAATAGGGTTTTTTTTTTTTTAAGTTTGAGAGTGGGTGACAGTGCACGTGTGTATGCACGCACAAGTAGGGGAGGAGCAGAGAGGGAGAGAGAGAGAATCTCAAGCTGGATTTGCACTATCCACGCAGAGCCTGACATGGGGCTCAAAGTCACAAACTGTGTGATCATGACCTGAGCCAAAAGCCATGAGCCGGATGTTTAACCGACATGAGCTACCCCTAAAAATAGGTTTTAGAAAAAAATGCTTCAAGGTGGACTTTAAATATCAAGCTTTTAAAAGTTTAAGGTGACTTCAACTCTGTACAGTTAGTTGAAATAACCAATGACTTTAGTATTTAACAAGAAGGTATTTTAGAGAGGGGGAAATAATATGCATATAAAAGGTTCTGGTTACCCGTAATACTTGCATATACATTAAAATGTGTGCAGGGGCACCTGGGTGGCTCAGTCAGTTAAGCACCCAACTTCAGCTCATGATCTCACGGTTCGTGGGTTTGAGCCCTGCGTCGGGCTCTGTGCTGACTGCCAGCTCAGAGCCTGGAGCCTGTTTCAGATTCTGTGTCTTCTCTCTCTCTCAGAAATAAGTAGAACATTAAAAAAAAAAAAATTAAAATATGTGCATACAAATCTGTGATCTTAAATTCTTTAACAGAAAAGATCTTACCAGATTCCAAAAATAAAAACAAAGTTTTTGAATGTGGATTTTCCTTAGGTATTCATTGCAGAAGGCTTTTAACAAAGGTGATAATAGTATAAGAAATGTTCCTTTTGTTTCTCATGTTATTTAATATACTATTTTGATACAAGAAAAAATGACCTTGTTTTCTGAATGCATTTTTGGCATCCTTGATTTTCTTTCCCTGCATTTTTTGCCTTTAGTCTTATAAAGTTCCAAGTGCTTTGGCACCTGCCTCCCAGGAGCCCTCCCCTGCTGCTTCTGCTGAGGCTGATGGCAAGGTCTGTTCTGATTCTTAATCTAAGCCTGCATGCCTAGTTGTCTGGTGTGACATAACCATCTGGAAACCACACTCACTGTACGCTGACTGTAATGATAATGTGGGATAGATACTGTGCTATGGTTAGATTATTTTAGTCTGAGAAGAATTTAAATTATGTAACAGTGTATATACTTCATAAATTATCCTTGACATGCCTTTGCTTGCTATGTAGCAGAAACACACAGAAAAATAATTTAAAGAGGAAATTATCCTGCAGTTTGAAAATTCACACCATTGGTATTTAAATTTTGCTTGTTAAACTGCATGTTTTAACATATCTTTTAACAGTTAATTCAGGACAGCAGAAGAGAAACTAAAAATGTGAGTCTCTTGCTTCAGAATGAAATGTACCTTTGGTGTTCTCACTGAAACACTGTCTTTAAAAATCATTGAAGAAGCTGTTTGTGCAGTAGCATCTATCTCCTGTCTGTGTTCCATTTTTAAATGTTTTGCTTTTCTAATCTTTTTAAGATGGCATTAGTTCTAGTCTTAACATTTCTTTAAATAACAACACTAGGCTTTCCTACTAGTTTTAATTCCCTACCACAATATTAAAATCAAAATTCCAGAGATGGAAGTTGTTAATACGTTTGGACATTTCCTCTTTAAAAGTTCTGACATGGGTCCAGTACTAAGGCATAATCCCCTCCTGCCGCTTTCTTATGCTTCCATTCAGTTTGCATTGTCACCTCAATGTATAGCCTAATGCGCGCCTCAACAGCTTAAGCAAATTCAAAACAAAGGGGACTGGGAGAGTTTGAGACTGTCGTTTCTTGACTTTTTTGGGGGGAGGAATTAATTATTCAGACCCATCCTTAATTGTTTTTTCTGCATTTAGCTCCCTTCCTCACTGTCCATATTTAAGGTTCTGAACCTCAGAAGTTTATAAATGTCTTAACCTCTCTCAGCCCGCTGTGCTCAGATTTTACAGAGACCATCTAAATCATTGCTCTAAGTTTTACTTCGCTCCTGGCATCACTCTGAATTTGCTTACTTTCCTCATAAATTCTTTTTATCACTCAAATATAATTAATTAATCATTTTAAAATTAGTACATAAATATACTGCCTATATTTTAGATATGGCCTATCTTAATGGACATATTAGAAACAAGTTTGGGCCAGTGTTTTAATTTGGAATGACTTTTTAAAAATGTTTCAGGTGTACAAATTGTAATTTGACACCTATGTATACACTATAAAGTGATCACCCCCAAAAGTTGACTTAACCATACATCACTCCAATTGACCTTCTTCTCTGTATCTGTGAGTTTTAGGGGGGGAAAAAAAAAAAAGACTTTTTTTAAGCAATTGCTGTAACACATTTCTCTTAAAGTTTGGATATCATCTTTAACTCCATTTTAGATTATAAGATCTTTTTAAAGAGCATCTAAAAACATCTCAAGTATTGATGAGTTACACGTTTTTTCTTTTACAAATTAAGACTAACAGATATCCTAGGGAAAAAAGTGCAAAAGCACTTGTGATTGATGGTAGTGCTAGATTTCTTTCAGCCGATCTTTTCTCAAGAGTATACACATTGTAGGGTTCCTTTGAAAAAAGTTGAGCTGAATGGCAGCTGTTTCGTTTTAATAGTGGTAGAGGAGTTGGAGAAATTTAGAAAGTTCCAGTTATACATGCCACCCACCATCTCTTTCTGACTCAGTTATCTGTCTGAATAGATGAGATTCCAGATGGGTACAGGATGTGTGTTCTTGACTGCTGTCAAGGAAGATGATACGATTGGAATAGATTTTGGAACATGTTCTTTTCAGGTTGCATCTGGAGGTGGTGGGGTTGGAGATGGTGTTCAAGAACCAACAACAGGCAACTGGAGAGGAATGCTGAAAACTTCAAAAGCTGAAGAGTTACTGGCTGAGGAAAAATCAAAACCCATTCCAATTATGCCAGCCAGTCCCCAAAAAGGCCATGCTGTCAATCTGCTGGATGTGGTAAGCCATGTGAATAGGCTCAGTACGAATGAGATGACCCTGTTGTTAAAGACCTACTGAACTTAAAAATTAAAAATTGTTTTTGGAGAGAGGGTGAGCTTGCAAGTAGGGGAGGGGCAGAGAGAGGAGACACAGAATCCAAAGCACGCTCTGAGCTGTCGGCAGAGCCCGATGTGGGGCTTGAACTCACGAACTGTGAGATCATGCATGACCTGAGCCAAATTTAGATACCTAACTGACTGAGCCATCCAGGCACCCCAAACTTACTGAACTTTTAAATGTTGTCATTTAAAAATGGCACAAAAATAAAAATGTTCTTCTCCATTTAGCCAGTTCCTGTTGCACGAAAACTATCTGCTCGTGAACAACGAGACTGTGAGGTCATTGAACGACTCATCAAATCGTATTTTCTTATTGTCAGGAAGAATATTCAGGACAGGTTAGTGCTATAAATCAGAGCCTATGTATACTTCTGGATGACTTCATAATTAGTTTTGAAAATACGTGTATTTAAAACATTTTTAGGCTCTGGTTCTAAATTAATGAATCTGATGGTTTTGATTTACAGTGTGCCAAAAGCAGTAATGCACTTTTTGGTTAATCATGTGAAAGATACTCTTCAGAGTGAGTTAGTAGGACAGCTGTATAAATCATCCTTGCTGGATGACCTTCTGACTGAATCGGAGGACATGGCACAACGTAGGAAGGAAGCAGCTGATATGCTAAAGGTATTGTAAATGTTTTTTTGAATTTTCACACCTGGGTTGCAAACACTACATTCTGATCCCTGGAGATATACAGTCATATGATGGTTAATCTTTTTTTTTGGGGGGGGGGGGGTACTTGGTTAGATTTTAGATTCAAATTTCAAAGAAGGTACTAGTATAGATGTACCACATATAATGGGGAATGATTGTCTCTACATAATTGAGATTATTTGATCTGCTAACTTACTAAACATCTATTTACCTTTTTTGATATAGGCATTACAAGGAGCCAGTCAAATAATTGCTGAAATCCGAGAGACTCATCTTTGGTGAAGAGAACTATATAATACTGAGACTCTATCAACTCAAAATTTGCTAGTTACTGCCTACTTGAGTAGAATTTTATTTATGAACTCCTGTGTATTGCAATCGTATGAATCTGCTCATGTGAAGAGACGGGCTATAAACTGAAAAGCGTACTCTGTATCACAGAACAAATCATACATTTAATCCAAATAATAAATGGCTGTTTCTAAAGTTGCCCCGTACATATAAAATACATCACGTCTTTCTTGTGACAGTTTCATTTGAACTTAAAAAGAACTGTTCATGTTCTGGTTGTACAAGCAGTTTGCCTGTGGATGAGATGAGCTGTGTAATCTGTTAGCAGTCTTAAAGCTGCTGCCATAGTCCTTCGAGAAGAACGCACGAAGATAACATTTCATACAACTATAATGCATGCACAATCTATAAACTGGTCTGGCTTTGAAAGATGTGAGTTGACAAGTTACTCACGGTCACTGTAGTCCACCTGTCCTTCGATTTCTACTATTGAGCTTCTCTGCAACCTTTGATGTGTTAGTAAGAAAGCTGAAGGCACAAGAAGATATGTAACATTGACAGTGATGTGTGCATAAGGTGTAGCTACTGCGGTCCTTCCCCTTCAGGTCCACGCTGCCCTCGTGCATTAAACATCTACATTATCTTTGATTCTGTCTTAAACCTACAGGCATGAATTCTACTTTCCTGCATTAAAAACAATCACCTAGACTTGATTCTCAAATATGATAGTAATTCAGATACATCTTTAAATTGGGTCACTTATAACATGCTCTAAGATTCACTTGGAGGTGGTACTTAAAACCAAATACTGTGGTCATTTAAGTATACATCTTCTCTATTAGTTGGTAATAGTTAATTTAGCTTCACGCCAACAGAATATGTTAGAATACAGATACCAAAATACTGGTGGAGCCTTATTATTTAAAGAAAAACATCTGGACAGACAACACCTAAAAGCTTTACGTTACTAAAATACATTCAGAGTTTTGGGTAAGGTTTAGAACATACTCACACTTTATTAAAATTCCCCAGGTGATTCTTGGTACGAATTACATTATAAATTTTAAGACATGGGTCAAAATCCTAAGGCATCGAGCTCCATCTCTGAAAGATCATATCAGCAACTTAGAATCTACTGAACATATTAACATTTCTGTTATTGATGAAGGACTACTGGCAGGGACAATGTGTGTGTTAACTTTGCTAAACAATGCGCTCAGCAACTGATCTCAAACATAAAAATCAGATTCAGTCTTACACGGTACTACTTTGAACCTGTTAATAGTACCATCTTGATACATACTACCTAAATATTTGTTAGCACACACTTTAAAATCACTCTTGTCATTACTGAACATCAGTACATCCATCCATGAATTTACTTACTTCAGATACATCAGATGATTACCATTCCAGCCTTTTGAATTTGTAAGGGGGGGGGGGAGAAGCTTACAGTGTACCATTCCCCAGCATATCAAACAAATTTCAAATTGGAAATGTTACCCTTTAGAAATAGGCTATGGTAATGTACTCGCTGGTACTACACACCTTGTACAAGAAAGGCAGAGACAAGAAAGGTATGGAAAGTTTCAGAAAACCTTCCTTTACTGGCTCTCAAACTGAGTGAAGCTCTGAGATGTGGAGATGATCTCTGACATTTACCACGGATACCTGTATGTTCTTGCTGTGTAAATAAAATTGCTGGTACAAAATGACATTCAAGTTTTGTCAATAAGTGAATTTTTCCTCTAACTTTGCTCCCAGAGAAACGTTTAGCTAAACTATAGCTTTTTAACATATAAATCTAACTGGAACATAAGACAGCTTATGCTATATCAAAGTTTTACAACTTCGTGCCTACGGAATTCTCATAATTCAAAGAGCTACTGGTACATCTCCACTTTTATATATTAGGATAGTGATTTGTTTCAAGTATTCCAGGTAGTAAATGGCTAGCATTTGAACAGTAAAGCCATGCTTTGCTGCCTGTAAGGTTTTCTAGAAGGTATCAGATTATGAACCATTTGCACGTTTCACTTGGTCCTCAGGGAAATAGGGGTGATAACTACCTCGATTTTTCACATACAGAAACAGTACTGAGAATTGACCTGCCTCATGTAAGCACAGCTTATAAGTCTTGATTCTAAATCCTTTAAATGTGATCTGAAAACGTCCCTTACCAGAAGAATATCTTTTGATAGTCTCCTGTGATTGGATATTTGATATATTTGCCTCTATTTTCTCTCTAGTTACTTTTCAGTTTATCTGAAGTTGCAATCTGCTTGGGGACAGAAAGTGGAACTTGAAACTAAGTTTCCAGATTTATAAAATATTGCTACTTTGGTAATCTGGCAAAACAAGGCTGTGAGTAAATTTATACTGAAACACAGGTAAGGGACTGGAAAACTGAATCGGACTTCCTCAAAAGTACTAGTTTTGGTTCTTTAAAAGGAAACTTTCAACTGTAATTTCTACTGCCAACTAGGGCTCCATGTAATACTTCTTCAGGAAAACTATATTTGCTTCCTAAACAAAAAAATTCAGAAATCTAGTTTCCAATACCGTATTTCACATTTTTAATGTGGCTGCTGGTGTCAGTAAGGTCAGGGAGATAGACACCCAAAATAAAAGTACCCAAGAGTCCTTATTCTGTCCTCTTTTTCACTGTTCTTCCTCATCTCTAAAAAGAGAGCAAGCAGGATACAATAGTTATTTCATGAATCAGAATTTTTAAAAGAGATTATCCATGGCAATCATGGTTTTCTATGGTAGTCCTTAATACTTGCAGATCAGGAAATAAAATACCCCGTCATTACACAAACACCTTCTATTAAGCAACCTATATAAATAATGAAATTACTCACACTCTGAGGCCTAGAGTGTACTCCCGTTCGGCTCGTATGAATGAAAGTAAAAGTTCTGGAGCCAACCTTTGATACATCTTGAGAATGAGACGGATGCATATTGTTTGAACCAGCAGAAGGATTTTTCATCATAGCTGAAGCCATTTTATAATGTAGAAATTCCTTTTTCCTATTTTAAGTAATGAAAGTCCATTCTTAAGAATATGTTGTCCAACGACTAAAACACTCTCAGGATTTGTTACTTGTCTGTGATTTATACTGACTCCACCTTCTGTTATCATCCGATACCTGAAAATAGAAATGTTTTAGTTAACTAGATAAATCCAATCACTGTTGACCTCTCCCAGTGATATTTACATTTCAGAGGGTCTCCAACTAAAAGCACTTAGCACTGAATTGTTACCTTTATGTTCACTCTACTAGATTCTGCCTCCCTTAAATGCTCTTCTAAAGGAACAGATTTAAGGCAAAGTAAGTTTCTTATTTAGTAGAGAAAAAGCTGGGATATCTCTCAGCTCTACACCTAGCTATTCACAGTCGATAGTGATTTAAAAATGAATAATAACACGTGAGCAATTACCCCCCTCCCCACACTCTGAGCAGGGGCTTACAGAAAGGCAGCTTTCAAACAGAAAAAGAGGGAAATGCTGCTTTTAATGAGTTCCCATGAGATACAAGTCACAACTATATAGTGCGATTACAGACCCCTTTTGGAAACTTGCTTATGAAACTGGAAGATCCTTGGAAATCCTATTCTGAGACTATGCAAATAATAGCAAATTTTGTTAAAATGTTAAAAAGAATTTTTTAAAATGAAATGGGCTGATTTCAGAAATGGAAAATCAGTAGCTTCTCTAATTCTAGTTTACTGACAATTAAAAATTTTTTTTTAATGTTTATTTCTGAGAGACAGCGTGAGCAGGGAAGGGTCAGAGAGAGGGAGACACAATCTAAAACAGGCTCCAGGCTCTGAGCTAGCTCACAGCACAGAGCCCGACGTGGGGCTCAAACCCAGGAATCTTGAGATCATGACCTGAGCTGAAGTTGGACGCTTAACTAACTGAGCTACCCAGGCGCCCCTGGGCATTCAATGAACATTCATAGAGCCTTTACTACGCACTAAATATAAATACTATTGCAAACTAGTTGGGCGATCCAGACAAACAACTACACGGTGATTAAATCCTATAAAGCACCAGCCGGGGCACCTGAGTGGCTCAGTAAGTTGAGCATCTGACTCAGGCTCACGTCATAGTCTCACAGTTCATGGGTTCGAGCCCCACATCTGGCTCTGTGCTGATAGCTCAGAACCTGGAGCCTGCTTTGGATTCTGGGTCTCCCTCTCTCTCTCTCTCTATTCCTCCCCACTCACACTGTGTCTCTCAAAAAATAAACATTAAAATTTTTTTTAATGCTATAAAGCACCAAGAAAGGTTGCTCTAGGAACACACTGGGTGGGTGGGGGGTTGGAAGTTTTCCTGAAAGGAGGAATGCCGAAACCGGAGAATGTCAGTTAATTTCACAAACAGGGTGAGTAAACCTGGGGAGCAGCTAGAGAGAGGTGAACTTTGAAAAGATGTCTAGAGCATGAAAGGCCTTGAAGCCCTTGTGAAAGGCAAATGTTCATGCTCTCTTATCTGAACATGTTACTAATGAAATAAACCGCTACACCCATGGTTTTATAAAACTAGTAAAACATTTTCTATTTCACTTCGTTCTCTTAGGAAGTGTTATTTGCTACAGTTTACAGATCATGGTCTACATTTTATTTAAATGCACAGGCCAGTCTTATTCAGCTTATACAATCTGAACAAATGTTAGTGTTACTAAGAACTCTGTCAAACCAGATACGTGTCATCTTTGGCAGCACGGTTTCCAGTATCAGTAAATAAACCACTAGAAAAGTTGAGAAGAAAATGAAAAATGTTCCCAGAGTGAAGAAGAGGAGGTATAGGACAGCACCCCCAACTCAGTGTATATTAAATAAATGAGCATATTAGGGAAGCAGTAAGGTAGAATGGCAGGTGACACAAAGATCATTGATATTCTATGTAGAATAAAATAGGGTTCTTTAGGATAAAGGCAAATAATCCAAAACTACTGAAAGAAAATAGCAACTACAACAAACGTCATTTATAATCATGATCATGGACTATAACCATTTGACTTCTCAAACCCCAGTAGATGAGGCACCCAGGGCCTTCTGGCTAACGAATGCTTTTCCTTCTGTATCACAGGATTTCATTCATAAATGGATAAGCACCAAGTGCGTGCCCACTCCCTTTTCTGTGGAACACTGTATTCTCTCAGTACCACATGAATGAGAAAAAATGTTCTATCTACGTCTTAAATAAGAAACATGTATTCTCAAGAGGAACTGTATGTAATTAATAATACTAGTCTTAGGGAAGTAATATATGCTTATTTCATTTTCAGAAATTCAACTAATATTTTAAGTAAGTTAACGTGGCAACCCCTCTACTCCCTAAAATGAAGAAGATATATACTGAATATGAGCAGGGTCGTGTGAATCTGTTCACTTTTTATCTCAAATTGTGATCATGCCTGAGCAGACTAATCCCAGTGCATTTACTGACTGTGCTGGTCACTTAAACAGAGACCTTCCCAACGCTGCTGAAGAGAAACTGAGTGAGACTTAGACCATATAGTAGTACCAGGTTTTACAGATTTAAAATTCAAAGGATTTTTGACAAGAAGTACTCAGTTTTCACTTTATTCTTGGACTAACTTCTGCCAGAAATGAGACACCCTTAAAGCATTATCAGGAAAACACCTTCTGGAAACACATGCTGAGAACTATAACATTTACTGCTGAATTAAGTATGAATCTGAAAGTTAAATAACCTTACCCTCGGGGACCATCTGGAATGGCATTTGCTTTGCGGCAGGTATCTAGGACACTTGTTCCTGGGTCAAGAACTAATTCAGAAAATGAAGCTTCTTTAAACAACTCTTTTAACTCCTGATCAGACATGACCTCCAGTGCGTCGATGCTGCTATGATACAGGGCTTGTGTACACCTGAAAAACACATTGGGAACCACATCGTGTGAGCGCTTATCCAAATACATGTGCTCATATCCAGTAACTAATTCTGGAGTGCCCACTGCGTTCCACACCGAAAGGTTTCCAAACAGCAACGTTTATCTTACATAGTTGATACTTAATTCAAGGTGACCTTTCTTTCCAACAGAGGCTATTCTACAACATTTAGGTCACACACTGACAATCCCTGTTAGTGGTAAGTAACAAGAAAACCCTACTGAATTTTCTCCAGTCTGTTAACTGCATGAACTTTATCCAGTTTTAGTATTCTAAAAAGCCACCTTTTAGCAGAAGCTAGCCCTTCCTGTCCATGAACAAGCTTTGTAACTTCTGCAGCAAGTCGTTTCTGAGGACCCCGCTTTTCCGGCTCTTTTTCATGCAGCTGCATTATGTGGCCAATCTCTGGAAGGGGCAGAAAAGTGAAGAGCTTCAGGTACCTTTGGGACAAAAAAAATACAGTGTTAGGTATATATAACATACCTAATTTTTATCTCTTATTTCCTTACCCTTTAAAAAACATCCTGCCGACTTTTAAATTCATTCATTCATTCATTGAGAGAGAGAAGTGAGTGGTAGAGGGAGGGAGAGAGAATCCCAACAGGCTCTGTGCTGTCAGCACAGAACCCAATGTGGGGCAGGATCCCATGACCCTGAGATCATGATCTGAGCTGAAGTGAGGAGACAGATGCTTAACCAACTGAGCCACCCAGGTGCCCCTTAAAATTTAATTATGAAAAATAAACATGAAGTACCCAAAAAAGACACCTGTGCACATACCATCCACACTGAGGATATCCTTATTTTGCCATCTTTGTTCCAGACCTTTCCTTTTGAAAAGGCATAAAAGTACAGCTCTAGATCCCAGCACTACCATATTCCCCTTCTCTCCCACAGAGATAAGCTAACCTAAATTTGTGCACATCCTTCCTAAGGATGTCTTAGGACTTTTATGTATATGTGCCCATAAATAAAAAATTTATAACTTCCTAACATAAATATTTTATTTGTAGCCTCTTTTTAAAATCTTTTCTTGGTGAAAAACACACAGAAAATACACAAATCAGAAACGTATAGTTTAATCAGTTAGAAAGCAAACCTCTACCATCACCTGTCTAGAAATACATCATTGTCTCCACCCACTAAAGCCCAAATTTATCACATTCCCTTCCCCTCCAAAGTAACCACTCCTCTGCCTTTCAAGATAATCACTTACTTGTTTATCTTTATACGTTTACCATTTCAGTATCCCCCCCATATGCAGCATCATTTTGTTTTGCCTGTTTTTAGGTTTTATATAAACGGAATCATATAGAATACATTTTTCTGTTTGGCTTTCCTGCCAGATCATTGTATTTAGTAAGAGACTCATTCATGTTGCCATGTGACATTGTTTCCACTCTTGAACAATTACTCATAATGCTGCTATGAATATTCCCACGTATTTCTCTCAGTGCCTGTGTGCACGGATTTCTTTTGGGGACGTACCCAGGAGAGGGACTGCTGGGTCACCGGTTCTGTACATACTCAGGTTTAGTAAACAGAGACGTGTATTTTTCCAAAGCAGTTCTGTAAGTGTAGCATCGGTGCTTGACATTAAACCTCTGACCACCAAGGATACATTTCAAAGACCTCCACCTCAAGTAAACACACAGCCAGCTGCATGCCACAGCTACAGCAAGTCAACTAGACAAAGCACCAGACCACTGACATGCGTGAAGCTCCCCTTTTAGAAAGCTCTGGGTAACCTAGATAACGGACCACTGAGTGAGTCACACGGTTTCTCCCTTCCTGCTTACTCATTTCTGCTGTTTTAAATTTGCCAATAAAGAATGAACTCACAAAGCCCTTAGCACTTCACCCTTTATCCCAACAATGCAGAGCCCTAGGCCTAGGCTCCCTTCCTTTCTCTCCCTGACACCCCAAAATGCCAAGGCCCTTCAGGACCTGTAGGGCATAAATCTTGTTTCTCGAAGTTCTCTGATGGTTGTGGCTGAGATGCAAGATGCATCCTGCAACTGTAAGAACCCTTAAGGCAGGTCTAGCTCCCAGACAGACACGGGTCAGGGAACCATCTCTAAGCACGGCCATAAGGAGTCAGCCCAGGTGACCAGGCAAGCGCCCCCACGCTAGCACCGCTATCAACAGGCTGAGAGCAAAACAGTTGGCAGATGGTACAGTCAATGGGGCTGTGTGATAGCACTTGCAGCTAACCCAGGGGAAGGCATTTAGCTTCAACTATCTTTTTTTTTTTTTTTTTTCCAAAGTGTATTTTTGTTTTGAGAGAGAGAGAGAGCAAGGAGGGGAAGGGCACAGAGAGAGGGAGACAGAATTCCAAGCAGGCTCCACACCATCAGTGCAGAGCCTGATGTGGGGGCTCCAACTCACAAACTGAGATCATGACCTGACGCAAAATCAAGAGCTGGAGCCCACAACTGACTGAACCACCCAGGTGCCCCCCAGCTTCAACTACCTTACGAACTGTAACTGGCTAACCCAGACGGTAACACCGCTTGGGAAGGCAGCACCACTTACTGGAGGTCTGCTGCACTTTTCCGTGCTTTTGCATACTGCCTGGGCTGTGTGTTGCCCATAGCATCTATCCCAAATTGTCACTGCTGCCATAATTCTCTCTCTCCAGTGCACTGTGATGAAGGCCATATGGACTAATGAGATGAGACCACTAATCATAAAGGCCGTTGCCGACCACTCATGCACATGACGGTCCTCCCTGCCTTGCACCAAGGACAGCTAATGAAGGCAGACTGGATCCCAAGGCTGTGATCACTGTCCAAGATGAGGCTTCGGGCTAACGGTGCTGAGCAAAGGGTATTCCGGTAGATATGGAGGGAGAACTTGCCTGGTGACCACTGAGTGATGGGTCATAGTGGGACTACGTGTCCTAACCCAGACACGTGGACCGGCCTTGTAACAGGACACCAAGGGCACCATGACAGGAGACATTCAGCTGAGGCTTGCTGTCCCCACACGGCCACTACAACTCACTGTCGCTTTGTCTCCCTAACCCAGTGGGACATCATGAGTTCAGTCCCTGGTGTGATGCTGCTAAACAATTAATGGACAAACATACGTGTCCTGAACATCTTATGCCAGTGCCTCCTAAGACCCCAGAGGAGGTACATCAGCTCCAAACAAATGCAAAATTTACTTCACAGAGATGAGAGCTTCCTGGGCATTGCTTGGTACTCCGGTGCACGAACATGCCAAGGCTTTGCTATTGTGCTCCAGGGGCCAGGGCTTTCCCCCAGGTCCCGTGTACACGGCACTAGTGGAGGCAGACCCCAACCCTGGGGAGGGCAAGTGGGACACCCTGGAAAGGAAGGCAACCACTTACGAGGGCTCACAGGGACATCTTCCAGAAACTGATTCTGCTAACAACACGTAGGATCAAAGTAGTGAAGAAAATCAGAAAGTAACAATTAACATCAGAAATTATGCCGTAACTGAAAATTCTAACCTTCCTTAAAGCTTTTGTGCAGCAGGCGCCGGTCAGAGTGGCTAAAATGAGCAAATCAGAGGACTCCAGATGCTGGCGAGGATGTGGAGAAACGGGCACCCTCCTACACTGTTGGTGGGAATGTAAGCTGGTGCAGCCCCTCTGGAAAACAATGTGGAGGTTCCTCAAAAAATGAACACTAGAACTCCTCTATGACCCAGCAAAGGCACTGCTAGGAATTTACCCAAGGGACACAGAAATGCTGAGGCATAGGAGCACATGTACCCAATGTTCATAGCAGCACTCTCCACAATAGCCAAAACATGGAAAGAGCCTAAGTGTCCATCAACAGACGAATGGATCAAGAAGATGTGGTTCATCTATACCATGGAATACTACATGGCAATGAGAAAGAATGAAATCTGGCCATGTGTAGCAACATGGATGGACCTTGAGGGTGTTATGCTGAGCGAAATAAGTCAGGCAGAGAAGGACAAATATCATATGTTTGCACGTATAGGAGGATTAGGAGGAACTTGACGGAGGAACAAGGGGGAGAAGAAGGGGGGAAATGGTGGGGGAAAGGGAGAGGCAAACCATGAGAGACTCTTGAATGCTGACAAAAACTGAGGACTGATGGATGTGGGGGGGAGGGGGGATGGGCATGGAGGAGGGCACTTGTGGGGAAGAGCACTGGGTGTTATGTGGAAACTAATTTGACAATAAACTATTAAAAAAAAATTTTTGTGCAGCAAGAAGGATAGAAGGGAGCTAACTGGCTATTACAGGTTTTTGGCCTATGATAGAAAATTGTTACTCATCGCTGCTGAACTGCACAACTGGTCCATCTCTCTAAAGACCCTAAAATCTATAATCTTAATGAGCCAGCTACATGTCTGTTTCCTCTGAGATACCACAGATCCTGAGTCCTCTAGGCTCCCCCCGCCCCAAAATGGGACAGAATACAGCAACATGCCACAGGGCGTGCCCCTGCTCCCGAAGGAAAACTGACCAGGTTACTGAGGCCACTGGTGAGGATGAGGAGGGATAAAGGAAGACAGAGGCCCCAGAGACAGAGAGCTGTACCACCCCCAGCCCCCCAGATGTTTACTGCCTGGCACCGTGCCCATTGTCTCCTCACAGAGATCACTAAAGCTAAGGCTCACAGTGAATGGGAAACATTAGATCAGGCCTGTCTCCCGCAGCACAATGTTGCCATGGTCCAGTATGTTTATCATTTCCATGGCCACAGTGACCCAAATGATGTCCTCTTCATTTCTAAACCTGACAAGGCCTCAAGTGACCCCACGTCCAGTGAATTCTTTTCATAAGGTGCTCCCCCTAATTACTGGGCAGTGCTACTAATTTTAATGGGACTGCTGACACCACTGAAAAGGCACTGCGGGCCACGGGCATGGTTGCTAGACATGGAGGGGGTTACCATTCAGGCCCCTGGACACTTCAGAACTATGTCCTTCTGCCGCTCTGGCCCCTTGAGCAAATTCCCCTCAAAAGGGCTCGCCACTCCCTCCCCACTCCCTCCCCAACTTAATTTTGCCCTTTATGAAAATGCACAGGTTAACCTCTCCTGGGAGTTACACAATCTCAGTGTTCCTGGCCGCTTAGTATCCAGACAGCCAGTGTCTAAACTCTAGGCCCTAACACGACCATCTTCTCAGCTATCGCCCCCTTATGCCATCCACCTTCCTGCCACTCAGTTACCATTCGTCCCGACTTGAAGCCAGTCCCTGCAGCTATCCCTGCTTCTTCTCTAATATCCAGGCCTGGCAGCCACGGAAGCCTCTACCCCAGGAAGCTGGTGGCTCCCCAGGACTCATCCCACATCCCAGAGACGGTGGCCCCTACAGCACTAGGGTGGGCCCCTGGGACAATAAACATGCATGGTGTTTTCTGGCCTGATTAGACATCAAGGCCCAAGTCACTGCTATTCCAGACAATCCCTCTAAATTCTTCAAAGGGAAG